TGTCAGAATCTAGTTCATATGACGAGGGGCGTTCCGGAAAATTCGAGCAGCTTGATAAGCCGTCGTCCGTTTCGGATTTCATTGAAAACAATTTACGAATAGATTTTAATTCATTAATTCTCTTTAAGATTTTATCTTTATTTGCATGATAAGGACAGTCTTTCACACTATATTTCTTCAAGTTTTGTGTCTCTTCATAGTCGGTCCTCATCGGCAATGCGTAACCAAGCTTCTTTCCACGCTAGATTGAAACCGTGGTGTCCAGTGTGTTCAACAACACACTGACACACAGTCCGTTTCGCGTTACCGAGAAGCTCCGGCCTAAAATCACCGAACTCTGACTATTTGGATTCGGTACTAAGCAAACCTGTTTGCTATCACTTAACGAATTTAAATTTCTCATTCTAAAAATCGCTACTACAGCTTGTCCTGGTTGTAACTTTACTTTTCTATCCAAAAAAACTGGTACCTTATTTTCATCTGTTATTATCCTATTAATGGGTCTCTTAACATACTTTCGGTCCGGGTTTCTAATCCGTATTAGACCGTTGTTTAAGTCAATCATCACGTCAAAGTTCCTGACAAAATCTCTGCCCAAGATGAATTGGTCGGCGTCGTCCAGATTCTCTACCACCAGGAAGCTCATCCAAAGGTTCCGTCCTCCCATGTGAAGGACCGTCACCGGTGTTCTTCCGGCTACGTAGATAGCTCCTCGATTTGCGGCGGCTAGTCGGAGATTCGTAGGAATCAAATCTTCCCGCGTGAAGCCCATTCTCTCCCAGGTTTTTATCGGCATCACACTTACCACCGCGCCTGTGTCCAGAAGCCCTGTGACTCCGATTTTTGTTCCGTTGGTGTCAAGCAGGTGTGCTGTCACATCTGCTTCATATCCAATATGTACCGCGTCTTGTTCCATCATGGCGTCATGGCCTATCCTGCGGACTTTGAGTTCCTCTTCACCCAAATAGATCTGCCCCATTTGGTCATCATCTGTTGTTATGTAAGTCCTGGTGTAGATGCTGATTCCATCCACGTTCAGCATTATTTGATACGGCCCATAGACCTCCAAGTAGCGTCCATGAAGTTTCTTCATGCGAGGGCCACCCGTCGTTAGTAGTGCTCGCACAGCTCTCGACTCAGTGCGTGGCTCCACCTGCCTCAGATAATCTGCATATGTGTCCAAATGCATTAAAGTGAACTCTGATGGTTCACTCAAATTTCTTATTACCTGGTGTCCAGCCACTGAGATTATCGACTGTATCTTCTTTCCTTGCGGCGCCATGCCGAACCTCTTACCGGAGATCACTTTAAGTTTCATATCTAAACTGCTTGGTGTTTTCGTCTCCTCGAACTCCGTTGCTTCGAAGGTATTCAGTTGCTCCTGAAGCTTTTCATTTTCCAGTTCAAGTTTCACTTTTTGTTCGATCTCTTTCGTCACCAATTCCTGCTGTACTCTATTTAAAGCATCCTTTGCGGCTGCCTTATAATCGATCTTGAAGTCATCGGCCGCAGTTGCTGGTTCCGGTTCACGTGCTTCTCCTGTTACCGCTTGCATTTTCTTTGCCGCCAGCTCTTGAGGTTTGTCCTTCCTGCGTGCCTCTGCTTCGTTTAAAAGTCGAGCCTTGCTTGCTTTCACTCCTGATAAAGCTTCTTCATGCCTTGGATGCTTGATGTCTGCCACTGCATCCCAGAATTGTGGACAGTCTGATTTAAAATGACCTTCCAAGTTGCAAAAGAAACACCTCGGGCCGAATTTCGCAATTACTCCTCTCATGAAATCCTCATGTTCCAACTCTGACGCATCTTCGTCCTCGAGACTAAAGCCTATTGCTTTCATGCCTTGTTTATAAGCTGGGCATGCTGACACATGATGGTCTGTTGAACTACAATTAGCACAAGAGCGTCTCTTGTCCATATCGTCCCTCGGTTTGTACCAATTGTTCCCTTGGTTCGCTGGTCCGTTGTTAAAATTGCCATAATTGTTCTTGTAATATCCAGATCTCGAAGGAGTTTTCAGCAATAGATACTCTTTCGATTTGAGCCTCAACTCCTCCGGTGTTGGTGCATTAGTTGATAGTGGTGTGTAATGCGTTGCTAGCATCGTACGAAGTTCATCATTTTTCACACCATCGATGAATTTTGAGGCTACGGCCAGGTTCATCCTTCGGTTTGACTCATCCGGTTGGCTGCGTCTTCTCAGCATTTCCAAATCATCGAGAAACTTGTCTATTGTTTCATCTTCTCGTTGCCTCCGTTTCTCGAAGCGCATCATCGCCTGGTGCCCCTGCACCCCTGATCCGAAACGGTTTAATAAAATTTCGAAGATTTTCTCAGCAGTGTCACGTTGATACTGTTTCTTGGCCATGACACAGTTCAGGGCTGTCCCTTCTAAGTTGCTGGTGAGCGCGCTGCATTCCTGTCTCTCAGACAAGTCTTCTTCCTCGAAATGCAGCTTCATTACCTCTATCCAGGTATCAATGCAGCCATCAGATTCGTCTTTGTAGCATCTTGGTTTCTTAAAGACTCTTCTGGACTTTTCACTGCGTTCATTGGTTCTAGATAACCGCGTCAGGAATGTCTCCAAAGACCTGTTCAGGGGTTCAAATGCTGTGGCCATAGCCGTAGCATCCCTTGAGTGTCCCGCTTGAGTGTCCTCACACCTTGTCGAAGGCTCTGTGTGCGGTACATCCCTACAATCCGAATCACCATGAGCGTTTCCCGCTTGGCCCATGTGACTCCTCCTCGGGCTTGTATGCCCCATGTTGCCAGAATCGCTTCTCCCGGTCGCATGTGTGCTTTGCGTTGGTCGTTCGTTCGAGGTTTGTTTGTTCCCCGTTGAACTCGCTCTACTGTTCGGGCCCCATGCTGTATTACTCCTTGTGGCATAGCCTGATGAACTGCCCCTGCCTCTAGTGGATCCATATGTCTTCCTCCTTTCATTGAAGTTCACCCTCGGTTCCCTGCTGGGACCTCCGAGTTCGGCTCTCCTTCTTTTGGTCCACTCTTGCTGCTTAGTAGCCCGTCCAACCTTTCTT